CAACATGTCACTAGGCCCCCCACATCTTTACATGAACTGGTAGATTATTTTAAAGGGCAACACCAGATTTTAATTTTTCTTTTTCTAAAAACATGCCTCTCTCTATAAGTATATGTATGAAAGTATAAAGTATGATATGATGCTTACTCATTATACATATCAATACTAAGAAGAAGTTAAAAGAGATCAGATGAGAAAAACAGTAATAATGGGGAGCACCTTAGGAAGGATTGAGGAGGCCCCAAGGTAACAGCAGCCGTGGTAAGAGAAGTGAGTTCAGAGCAGACAACAGCTGGTAGCTCTTTCTTCCATGCAGTATAGTTGGCCCCTTGGGGGTGGGGCCTGAGGTCTGCTCCCTGTCTGAGCTCCTTCCAAGGGCCTCCGTGGTTCCACCTCAGCCGCCTCTGCACAAAGGGCATAAGTAGACCCACAGACACAGCAGCATTTGCAAACATATTCATCATTTGCAAACAAATAGCAAGAAGTCAATGGCTATTCTCATTTCCCCCTCGAGGCTGCTTTCCTGTAAAGCCGGTTTGCAGTGCCCTCTAAGAGCCGGTTTGTAGCTGCGGGACATCCACTTACTCAGGCGTGGGGAGCTCTGCTGCCTTCAAACCACCTTTGGTCCTGCAGCCCTGTCGGGGGCGGGGTCAGAGCGGAGGAAAGTCCGATCACGTCCTTCTTTCTCCAGGGAGCCGGCCGCACTGCCCTACCTGCCACAGAGCAGCAAGCAGCTGCGACAAGCAAATGGGGGTAGAAAAACAGAGCGGCTTCGCTGGCACCTGGAAAGCGGTGAGCTCTCTCGTGACAGAAGGAAGAAGGAGGCTGGGGGATCTTGAAGGTCAATGGGGAGGCCTTTGTGCCTAGTAAATAGCAAGGCCATACCAACGTAGCGTCCCATGTCCTGGGTCCACCGGGTCGCATGCCCCAGCAGGCCGGCCGGGATGATGCTGGAACTGTGAAAACGGCCCCACGGTGGGATGAGGAGAAGGCCTAGGAGCAGATGAAGAGCGTGGTTGGGAAGAAGTAGGTTTCTCGGAGCTGTAAGATGGAACTAGGAGAGTGCTCAGAGCAGGCCTGCAGGTGGGTCCTGGCTGCTCACTTGCTGGCCATGCGGCTTCGGACCAGTTACTCGCCCTCTGTGCACTTCCCTCCCTCCTAAATCGAGGCTGCTAACGCCTGTCCTGCACCGTCCTGGCCTTGTGAAGTGTTGGGACATTGAGGGGTAAGGAAAAGGGTTTTGCCAAATCGGACAGTGATCTGAAGGGACTTTAGGCTTAGGTGACATGGCGTATGGAGTAAAAGAATCAGTTCCTTTTATGGGAGCAGAAGATGCTCCTTCCATTTGGGTCTAGTCTTGGGGGTGGTTAGGGCAAGTACCAGCTGCTGGGAGCCCAGGGATGGGCTCTCAGCTCCCCATTCCAATACCTAGGACAGACGATGGAAGAAATGTGCGTTCCTTCAAGCATGAAAAGATGGGTCCCTCCTGCCCCCCACAGAATAGGCGGGGGGGGGGTCCCTGCTTGCTTCATGTGACTCCCTGTGCTGTGGAATCTTACGAAACTGTAGAAGAATGAAATGAAAATACACGTATTTTTTAAATAAGAAATTTATTTGATTAAATAATATATGAAGATATTTTAAATAAGGCTCTATTCAGACAAAATGTAAATTTTTATAAATGTGACTGTATAAAGCATTCATAAAATCCTCACGTACTTTAAAACCAGGTTGCAAGTAAGTATAACAGAACCTGTAAATAGTACTTCAAAGCAGGTTTCTTAAGTGACACTTGCAATGTCATCCTACACGAGGCATCTGGGGTTCTGTGACAATCAGGCATGGCTACCCTCAGTGAGAAGGGGTTGTCCCTCGAGCAGAACTGAAGCCGAGATTACACCACGACTTCGACCTCCCTACACAGTATCCTAGCCTTTCAAGCCCTTGGGAATTGGAATTGAATAGGTGGGAATCTCTAGTCACTCTAGTGAGGATAATTAGAAAAAGAGGTTGGGAAACCAGGGTTGGAAAGAGGGAGGGGAGGGGAAACCGAGGCATGGCTAGGTCAGAGGTTCCTACAGAGCAGTTTTAGAAATGACCAAGGAAATGATGAAAATAAAAACAAACACAACACAGAAACAGAGGCTCCTCAGAGCTGCACCCTGGGGTCTGCAGGGAGGAGGGCACCAGGACCCTGAAGGCTGGGCCTGACCAAGTTTGCAGCTGGGCCACCACACACTCGCAGAAAAATCTTCACTGGAGGGCGGAGTCATTACCTGTGCACCAGGAGCAGGGCGGAGTGTGTAGGTTACATCAACTTCCCCCCAAAGATTTTTCCAGCATCCAAGTGACTCTGTTTTCAGGCCAACAGAGAACCCGGGACGCAGGAATCAGCAGCTGCAAGTTATAAAACCAGAAAAGCTTCAGACCTGTGGATGGAGAACCGTAGGAAGAAGGTGACGTCTCCAAGTGTGCACACTGCAGGCAGCAAAGCACGAATGCGTCCAAGTGATTCAGGTGGAACTGAACCATAGGGAGGTATGGAAAGACCCCAGAAAGCAAAAGGATGGTAACCACAAAGTAACCATATAGCACCCATTATTATAACTTAAGATACATAAACATCATCGAGGATCTATCTAGTGTCTGTGCTATTATTTTATAAATACAAATACTTATGAGGGCTCCAAAATATTACAAATGATACATACATTCTGGTATGAATGTTACACTCCAGATTCATACAATAGACATGATGTTACACTTGAACATAGATTAAGGGTGACGTATAGAATAATTTTTGCAGACCATTTTCTAAACCTTGGTCACACAGGTGAATACCAAAATCACAGGAAGCATCTCATTTGGTGGCTTTGGCAACAAACATGTGTTTTTTTTTTTTGGCTATGCATTTATGCCTCATACAAAGATACGCTGCTCATTTGTTAAATGATTTAAAGTCATCCAGAGAGCTTACACCGAGAGCTCTTTTCTGTTTCCTTATCTGCTTCTTTGCTATCGAGTCTCTGTAGGAGGGCCCCCTCAGTGGCCACGGCTCCTTTGCCGTGAGGCTCCTTGTCTTCCTTAGAGGGCTGTATTTAAAAACAGTTTCATGTTTCCCATTCAGGCTAAGTGGCTCTTTGAAATCCCTAACCTTGCGATCAGTCTTCTTATCCATGACACGGACGCATGTGCACACGCTTACACACACACACACATTGTAATAAAAGCAGTGCATCACTTCCTATCACCTGATTTCAGCAGTGTGCTTTCAAAATCTCTGTTCCCGGCACTACAGAAAATAACCTCCCAACATGTCCAGGTTGAGCCTTAGAGACGACCCTTCCTATCTGAGGTGACAACGTGAGACAAACCTCAACGTGGTTGGGGTCAGGGATCCCAAGGTCAAGGTTCTGTGGGCCCACAGAACATGAAAGCGCAGCCTCAGCAGAATCTAAAACTACTTTCTATTAGGGAGGCTGTGACATCCAATGACTCTGTGGGCTGACTCTGTAACTCCTCTTCTGCACGTGTGTCCTAAATGGTCTACTCCGCTTACCCACCAGGAAAGGAGAACAGTATTAACACCATCCCCTCACGGCCACACCGTGACCTCAGGCACAGACATGTACAGCTCAACCCAGTTTATCTTTACGTCTTAAAGCCAAGGCTCAGCCGTTCACCTCTGCTTCGTTTCCCCAAAACAAATCACCCCCGCGGCGCCCGGAGAGAGGCTCGTGTAGCAGAGCGAAGCCAGCCCTTCTGTTGTGATGGGGCTGCGCCAGCCTTGCAGAGAGATGCTGGGAGCTGGAGTCCCAGTCTGTGCACATTTTCTCAGTGATGACCTGGCATGTAAACATACTCAAGTGAAATGACTGAAATCATTGGCTTTAATTTTTAAAAAAGGATCTAGGGAAATGACAGAGTAGCTTATTTCCTTCTCTAACAGATATTACCCCTTGGCAAGAGGTGCTTCTTGTGGCTCAACTCATCTGAAAATAGTTCCACTTGGAACTTTCCTTAGCCAGTTACTATAACAGGGCACTGACTCAATGCTGGTTCTAGGGCAGTGATGGCGAACCTTTTGAGCTCGGCGTGTCAGCATTTTGAAAAACCCTAACTTAACTCTGGTGCCGTGTCACATATAGAATTTTTTTGATATTTGCAACCATAGTAAAACAAAGATGTATATTTTTGATATTTATTTTGTATATTTAAATGCCATTTAACAAAGAAAAATCAACCAAAAATATGAGTTCGCATGTCACCTCTGACACGCATGTTATAGGTTCGCCATCACTGTACTAGGGGATGAAACAAAACATCAATGGGTATGAAGCTGCACAGCTGGTCAATGGGCTTCGCCCAACTGGGTGCCACAATCACACCCCCCAGACTGACCATGAGTCAAGCCAGCTCCTCATTCCCCACCAGCCAAACACCACCATATCCTAAAATGTGGTTCTGGTAGAGAGGAGAGTGGAATCAAGGCCCTCATAGCAATAGCTAGGCTGGGCGTCCATGGCACGGCCGTGGCCGACCACCGGCCCCACAGAACTGGGTGTCTGTTAAAGGGACATCTACGGCTGGAAGAACAACCTGAAACTTCAGAATCCCGACCAAAGGATGAAGCTGCTCTGTGCCACTCTCTCGGCCACCTGACTCTCCTCTCCTCCCCGCCCCAAGTGAAGTGTTTCCACACTAGATGTGTGGGGTGAGATGGCTCCAAACCCCAGGTGAGTGGCTGAAAGCTGACACCGGGCTCAGAACCACTTCCATCTGTTAATCTTTCCAGCTTTAGGTTTCAGGACTGATGTATGAATAGCATAATACAAGGGTAATGTGAGCGAAGTCTGATGCTTTGTTCATTATCAAGCTATCTATACAACCTCCGTGGAAGGCAATCTAGTGGGGTAATGTGTCTGGCCTGGTAGAAAAATAACCACCAGTCGAATCACGTCTTTGTTTAAAATTTTCCATCTAAATAAATCAATTGCAAAGCCTGAGATTCCCTGCTTTTTAATGCTACTGCAACCTCAATTTCAAACCTGCATTGTGTGCTAAAGCTATGGAATAGACAACGCCACCGCCATGGTAGAGAAAAAACTGCCTGTGAGCAAGATGAACCACAGCCTTGAAAAGTAATGGAAAGGCATTTGAATGGACAGAACACTAAGATTTTTAAAGTTAAAATGATAGTGTATCTAGAAAATACTGTGAAAATATGTATCTCAAAATAGAACTAGGTTTAGTCAGAAGGCTCAGGAAAACCACCACTTAAAAAGCTGACCAATAGAAAAGAGAGCTAAAATAACCTCCCCACTTTTGACTCTTCCTCACTTTTCTGCCCTTAGATTGTACCGTCTGGATGTCCTAAAGCGGAATAATCTAAGAGCAGTGACAAAGTGCTGGTATTTTTCGGGATCTCTTCAAGACCATTTCCATCTTGGTAACTTGGCTCTTCTTCTGATCAAGGCAACTCATGGACTTTAAATGTTTTTGGGGACACGGGTTCAAAGACTTCGTCATCGTCTTCCACTCCTTCTTCTATTGGTTTCATCTTGGCCGAGGCGCGCTGGTGTGGGGAGGACACATCTGTCAGAGACACAGAAAGGAAAGCCACTTAACGTGCAGCCTGTCCTGACGCTGGAGTGATGCACCAGTTTCAAACTCCAACCGGAAAACAAAACTCCCTGGGAATCCATCGCTGGTACCACGAATGGAGTTTCCCTTAACACTATATTTTCAATCCAGCATTTCAATAAGACAACCAAATCAGGAGGTGGAAGACATTCCACTGCGTGTGCTTGTGTGATGAGCTTCTCAGACATCCCAGTCCCTAGTGGGTTGCCCTAAAGTCTGTTTAGGAATCAGAATGTTCCTACATGAATATCAGACATGGTGACTGGAGTCCCTGGAAAGCTGATTTAATTCCTGATTTCCCTAAAGTATGATTTTATTCTAAAACTATAGGCCCTCATACCATCTGTAGCACTACCTAAAAGAATAGTTCTTGTCACCAACTGTCCAGCCACGCTCTGGACTGGCATGGAGATGGAGAGCGGGGGACAGTGGGGCAGGAAGAGGGGTCAAACCAGCAGGCGGAAGAGCCAGGTGGAGGAAATACAGTCCTAAGGAGCAAGGTATCCCAGGGCCTTCCATTTAATCAAAGGAAACAAGCAATGAATGATCCATGCATCCAGCCCTCATTCATTCACTCATTTACCAAAAGCTTATTGAGCATGTCCCATATACGGACTCCATGCCTGATGTAGAAAAAAAATATTGTCTGAAAGGAAGAGAACATATTGTAAATAGGTGCAGAGACTCCTTGAGGTGCCTCATGAGCAGCTCACGTAAGCACAGACTCCCCTCCACACAGTTCCCACATTCAATGTCAGGATCCACCGTGTCAGGGTCCACCTGCTCGCCCATACCTGTGTACATTCTTGCTTCCCCCTAGCAGGACGGAGTGGTATTCAGCAAATGCTGAACTCGGGCTGGGTGTAAGGTTGATGATGGAAGAACAATGGGTGAAATCAGACTCTTCAAATGCTTGCTGTACAGCAAAGGCAAGTAGCAGGATCTTATAAAGACAGGAATCAGAATGGCTATAAGAAATTTATACTGATCAGCTGTTAAACCTTGGCAAGAGTCAGCAGCAGCCAGCAGGGCCGCCAGCCCTGAGAGCAGGCTGGAGTCAGTGAGGAGGGTCAGGGACCAGCAGGGGGCCCCACGGCACAGGGGCAGGCGGCCTGCACAGTGGTTAAGACCAGAGGCTGAGGAAACAATTCCAGGGTCAAGTCCCCGTTCTGCCGCTTCCTGCTGTATGCCTTGTGCTCCATTACTGTGCCTCTCCAGGCCTCAGCTGCCCTATATGTGGAAAGGAGATATTCACAGGACCTGCCTTCTAGGGTTGTTGGGAGGATAAAAGAAAAATGTGCTTAGCAGGGTGCTGGGCACATAGAAAATGTCACTAAATGTCATTTCTTATTGACAACAGAGTCACTGCCATACACCCAGGGAAATGCCACTACCAACAGCCACATCTTCCAACGTAAAAAGGTCATCATTGTGCAGGCCCTGGCTCTGCTACAGTTTATGTGTTTTTTGTACACACACAGAAATTATTCACTTTCAAACATTTATAATCAATTAAAACACTGAGTTTCTGGAAAGACAACTACTGACCGAGGGTGGAAAAGAAGCCTGTATGAAAGTCCCAAGAATGAACTTCTGCCACAGAGCACAAGGGCTTTGTGTCCTGTCTTGCACAGGCGATACCAAACACAACCTCCGATTCACAGGTCGGCTCAGGTGGCAATGAGTTCTGTCTGTGTGACCTTGGGCAAATTACTTCACTTCTCTGTGCCTTGATTGCCCTATCAGCAAAACAGAAGTAATCATAATAATATTACCTACTTCATATGGCTGTTTGGATGAATAAGTGTCTTCATACTTGTAAAGTTCTTACTCAGTATGTGGGATATGATAACACTTTGTAAATATTTGTAAGTCAATCAAATCAGTGAATGAATATGGTCTTTGGAGGGCAATAGCCTAAAGAATTGGGAAACTGGTTAAAGTTCATCATTGCCCATAAGGATGGCAAAGAAAGGAAATGGGACTAGTGCTTGAATAGGGGTCTGTGTTTCTCAGTCTAAACTGGCCTGAGTGCAGCACAGTTGCTGTTGTTGTTGTTTTGTGTGTGTGTGTGTGTGTGTGTGTGTGTGTGTGTGTATGTTTTACCAGTAGCCATGGCTTCCATCATATTTCTAGCCTCAAGTTATGATTGAGTCTCATGAAATATTAACTTAGGCTGAGTATTTGCAATCAGACAAAACCCTCAGAACAAACACGATAGCACCTCTAAGAGCATTAAGCCAAATCAATAATGTAGCACTTTCAGACATAATTGTATGCTACACATAACAGAAACACATCCAGTTCATTTTGACTGGGGAAGTGAGACCAACTGATCTCTACTTTTTAAGCCCATCTATCAAACCAGGGGTGACACACTACGGTATCCTGAGGCTGCTATCTACACTGGGGACAAAATGCTCCGACCCTCCCACTACCTCGCTAATCGCCGTGTTTCCCCACTGAGAGAAAGTGAAGAGAGGGCCCAAAACAACGGGAAGTGATCTAGTGAAAACTCTCCAAGAACTTCCAGCTTCTCTGTGAAATAACTGATTCTGTTCCCACTGTATTTGCCTGAGAAAGAAAGGGCTGTGGTGGTTACTCCATAACATTACAGACAGTCAGGCAAGAGTCACCCACAGTCCTGGGCTGGGGTCCAGGAGTCTCCAGGGAGGGCCTCCTTCCCATCTAGTCCACGCTCTGGCAAGCTCACTGACCCCCAAATCCAACCCATCCCTCTCTTCTTCTCCTCGTGCTTTTCTCTCCACCTGGAATGGTCTCTCCATTCCCATCCCTTCCCGCCAAATTCCTATCCATGCCTCAAGGTGGAGTTCAAACCCACCCCCTTCACTTGTGGTCTTCCCTAATTGCTTCTGTGGGGGAGTCTATTCTCCTCCAAACAACCACAGCCCTTCCACGTTCTGCACCACATTGTGGTCATAAGAACGGGCACCTCTCCCTTCCTGGAAAACAACATCTGAAAGGCTGTGACCACAGCCCCCCTCTCCTGCAGCCTCGCAGCGCACCCTACACATAGCCAGGTCCTTGATAACTACTTAGTACATGAAAAAAACCCTCCTCCGTAACTCGGCCTTCAGAAAGCTGATGCTGAGGACATGGGAGAAACACAGGGCCATCACATTTCATCTCTGATGGGTCAATCCCCACCTCCCCACCATCACCACCACTACCACCATGGGGCACAGCAGCATTCAGGCGTCAGCAGGTCTTGGGCTTACAGTAAGCCCTCACTATGAAAAGGGGCTGTTATCAGCACATATATTCTGTGTCATGTTCCAAGGGACATCACTTTAGAATAATTGGCTGATTTGACAGTGCTTACAGCAAAGAGTACTGGCCGCCGCGTAAACATCAATAAGGTACCTACAACCAAGTTTTCATCCAATCAGCCATACAAGTCTCTGAGCAACCGAAGGGTTAAATCTTGGGGAAATAAAAACAAATCAGACATAGTCTCTGACTCTCTTATTTGCCAACACACTTTTCAGAGTAATTCATTCTCCTCGCATCCCTACTAATATTTCTACTTTATACCCAGGAGCTGAACCTGAACAAACTGTGAAAGCAAACAGAGTGGGGGAGCTGCCCTGGGTGAATGCCTTTCTCACCTGGGAATGAACCAGGTGGAAACACATCTGGCAGGATAAGCCAGCTGCCCTAATAGCCCCATGAGATTGCATTCTTCTGCTAAAGCTCTTTTCTCGTGGAGAGCACTAAATTCGCTTTCATTTCAGGCTTTGTGGCTGGGTTAGAACCCACAAGTCCCCAGGTCCCAGTTCCCACAACTGTGCCTGTTATTCTTTCCCCACCGGCAGATGCACCTGACGTTTTGCAACAGAAACTCGGTCTCACTGTAACTGCCAGAAGCAGCCCAGCGCCAGCTGGCTGCCTGAGCCCTTGATAGGAGTCACAGCCACAGAGAGTGCCCACACTCTGCACCAGCTAGTTAGCCTGGGCCTCCTGCACCACCGAGGGCCAGGTAGGACGTTCACCTGGCCCCACCCATCACTGTCACAGTCAGAAGAAAGGCGGGCTTCCAAGAGCAAGAGCGAGGAGCTCACCTGGCCCATAGACCCAGTGCTCTCCAACCTCACTCAGCAGGACACTGTGGCTCAGTGGAAGGAAAGAGCCCATCACTACGCAGCTAGAAATCATTATTTTGTCCACTAATGAATCCAAACCCAATATGGAGTGTGAAGAGAGAGAGAGAGAGAGAGGAGATGGAGGGAGGGGAGGGAGAGAGAGAGAGAGAGAGAGAGAGAGAGAGAGAGAGGAGATGGAGGGAGGGGGGAGAGAGAGAGAGAGAGAATATTCTGCTCTAAGGGAACGATCTTACATTTCACAAGCTGAACATTATTAAATTCTTTCTACAAGTTTGCCTGCCTTTTTCATTAATTTTAGGCACTGATGCATCATCAGACATTTGCCCAGAAGGCCTAATATCTTACCTAGATGTGAGAGCATGAGGAGGAGGGGAGAAAGTGAGCTTATCTTTCGTTAAGTGCTTTTCAAATTACTTTTGCCCCTCCAGGACACTGCTATGAGGTCATGACCTCAGCACAATATTTTTACTTTTCATTTCTTTCAAATTCAAGAGAAGCAAATACTGCCATAGCCATACATTTTCCAGAAAACTGAGTTTTATCTTCTATTACAACCGCTTTTACAGTTGGGAGACAAAAGAGGTAAACTCTCCTTTGGTGCTTATTATAATAAAAAGAGATAATTAGCATTATTTTGTTGCTATTAGCTATAGTCACCTTCCAATTGGCTCAGGCTGCCAAGTAACAGAGTTTATTATAAAAAGTATGTAAAGCAAATAGTCTCAGGCTGAACTGCAATCCAAACTTATCTGGTATGAAATTGTTAGATACGTCAGGAGTTACTGTTGCTTGAGGGACTTTCATATGACACCAGGAACAAAAGTAACT